AGGTGAGGCGATAGGTGATAAGGGGTTCGAATTTGATCGGATGGCTGAAGAGGCAAGAAAGCCTGTACAACGAATATTGATAAGCTATCACTAACTAGACGAACTATATGTTCGATTGACCCAAAGCCATGCTTCCCATTGATGTGATACTCGATATAGCTGTTACCTAAGTGGCGTGAGCTTATACTATAAGACTTGCCACTATGTCTCCACAAGGATGTTGACATCAAATCAATACTGGCACTGCTGACGCTCGAATTTGATTGTAGAAGCTCCTTGACCGCATGTAGTACATCACCAGGTGGAGAAAACTCCTTCCATCTGGTTGCACTATTTCGTGAGGTGATAGAAAGATTGGCTGTATGTAAAGAAGTATGGTGACTCAGGAGATTTTGAAACAGTCCTCGCTGGGTATGTGCGCGGATCAAAGTCTTACCCAAGATCCCTAAAAAGATGTTATCCATTCGGTGTGAAAAGAGCAGAATTAGTGTCAACAGTGGATCAATTGGAAAGACCAATTAGAAAGACCAAAAACCATACCTGCACAAAAGTTCTTTGGTGTTTGGACAAGTGTACCAATCAGGCGTTCTCCTACCCAAGCAGCAGTGTATGGTGGGGGTCCAAGGCGGCGACACTGATCGGGTAGGTGCTGGGCAAAATGCAGATTGGGTTTAGACTTGATGTTAGGCCATACGGTTTGAAGATGTTGACGGTAGGTTTTAAGTAGCAATCCAAGAGATTGGATATCCTCCTCACTCATGACTCGGGACACAGAAATATTGATAATCTGTGTGGCAAGAAGTATCGCTGTGTGGATCTTCTGAGAATCGGAATTTGGCTCAGCATTTGCATGATACGGTATTAAAGAGAATACCATGTAAACTGTGTACAAAACAAGCCATTGGACAGCTTTTACACTGCCATGCGCAGTGGTCCCAAAGAGCGAAGGTACTACAGGAAGCCAGGAGGGGGTTATTGCTTGTTCAATTGATATGTGAATAAGTTTGAGTTCATGCGGAGTGAGAGCTGGGCCATGAGCACCAAGAATGGTACTGGAAGAGCTATCAGAAGCATCTGATCTATTAGTTGTCGTAGGGTGTGAAAGAATAGTTGTAGTGCTGGTCTGAGATTTGGCAGCTTGTGGGTAAGACATCCGGCTATCAGAGCTAGGTTCAGATGATTCATCTTCAGGGCATTCTGTTAGAGCATCGGTGTCTGGCACAAGATGAGGGAGCGCCGATGGTTGGTCTTCAGGATAGATTCCTTCAAGTTCGGCCTTGTCAAGTTGTTTTCGGATGATCTGTCCGGCAGAGGGAATTTGAAGGTATGTGATCGAAAAGTCTTTAAGTAAGCCAAGAAGAAGGCAGTGCATCGTATCAATACTGCCAAGATTGATGGGATGCCAATACTTGAGTTCGGATAATATAGTGTATCGAACTCCATTAGTCTTCAGCAATTTGGATCGGTCGTGCTGAGTTTCTGCACTGCGCCAAACCTGTGATTGCTGGTGTATTGAAGTTATGTGTCGGATTTTGTACCTCTCAACTTCAATATCGTCTACCTCGTCACAGGTGATGTAACAGTTTGAGCAAAAGTATGTGGCAGAATGGCCCGCGAACCCTGAAATCTTCCTGTTAGCTGGAATATCGGCGATCAGTGGCCATATTGCTACTCGAAAGACTCGTCCGTGTGGATAAAGAGACGTTTTGGTGAATCGAACTCCTTTCCAAAGGTCGTCTAGCTCGGCTATGAGAGGAGCAAGCAGGTGATTCATTGCTTGTGATGGAGGCTCTCGTGGCCCAGGAGTTATACCATAGATGAATACATTTTCAGCGTGATATCGTATATTTGGTGGGAGGCTGAAACAGATCAATAAGATCACACCCGAAGAATACTTTTTTGCTGAACCGTTTCCGTAAGGATTGAACCAATCAACATAAAGACCAAAAACCAAATTACCAGAAGCTTGTGTATAAATCTTGCCGTCGCTTTTGAAAGTTTTCCAAAGCTTACTATCCCAGATATCGTGCATCAAACCTCTAGGTGGTTTTTTAGCATTGAGGGGGCTATCGAGAGCTTTTTCAAAGGCGGGAATAAAACACATCCTCCCAAGCCATTCAAGAAGTTTCTGATGGTAGAATATTGACCGTGGTATCGCTTTGCAATTTCCTGATTTCGTTTTTTTCTGTTTGAAAAGAGGTGCGTTACAGGTTATGCGTGCTGCTTTAGAGGAGTTGGTCGGAAATTGCTGTTCGTTGCATCGTAAAGCTGCTGAGGCATGACTTTCTGCGTTTCCATGCAACGAGAAGCAAACTACACAGCACACAGTCTCAATCGGCGTTATTTTGAGATGGAATCTCTTTAATAAATCCTGAATCGTAGCTGGGATTTCTTTCCAAAAAGGGATCGATTTCGGATTGGCAGAAGTCATCCACTTTTTGACTCGGGTTTTTTCAAAGGTGAGAGATTTCCGACATGAACAGTTTGATTTCTTGTGGAATATATGATCATATGCAACATTCATCATTGATTCTAAGCACATTTTGTGTTGAAGGAACTTTTGAGGTATCTTGTAAGATTCTGTTGGAAATGTCATTAATGTTATAGCTGGAAGTGTGATATTACTATTTTCCACACGTTGGATCTTCTTTGGTCGGTGTACGTCTTCATCACCTGATGATTTGTCTTCATTTTCAGATCGCTCCTTTCTCTTTTCACTAGATTGTATCTGTTGTCCATGACTACCCAAGGTGTTGACAGAGGAAAGCTGGTCTGACAGGACTTCATTCGTATTGGTGCTTCGCATGGGCGTGTTTTTGTTGTTTTTGCTTTTTTGCAGGTGACGCTTGAAGTTTGTACGATGGAAAAGCCTTCCTGAGTGGATCTGATCATCAAATTCAAATCTTTCATTGTGACATCCTAAAGGCACACAGCAGCAACGGATTTGATCTGGCCCAAAGTAATCCATTTGATCGGCGCCTTTGTATATTCCAAAAGAAGTCAGGGGGATCAACAGGTGGCAGGATAACAATCATTGACAAGAAGAACGCTCACAATTGTTCACTTTTGATATGACCTTGATGATCCTTTGAGAATTTGATTTCAGATATGATTGTTGAAGCTTTGGGAACCTGTAATATCTGAAGAGAAAACAATTTGGTTGTCAATCAGAATCCCAACTCGACTTCATTGATCTAGGCCCAGCGGATGCTTACAATTGTACCCAAACTTCACCAATAAACCACTAAAGTAAGTGAAGCCAAGATGATGTTTATAAAATTTGAAGGTTTTCGAGTCAGGATGTCAGGACAAAGATTGTTTTTGGATCATGAATTTATGTATAGAATTTGTTACACATTCTTGACCCGCACCAAAAACGGACATGGGTGACAGGGTTTTGAGAAGGGTCTAAGGCTACTGGAGAGCAAAATGATTACGGGCCAAACAAAATCTCAACAAAACCATTTGATGAACTGAGAGAAGTGAACAAAAAGTCATCATTTCACTGCCCTGACTTGAAACTCTTGGTAGGCTTTTTTTCACGCTCTTGAATTTTTGAGTTTTTCATTATCACTCGGATGAAGAGTACAGTATCGAACTTCCCTCCACTTAATCAAACACCAATGGAAACCAAATATTTACATCAAAAAAATTTAATAGAGAAAGAGAAACCATCTATATACATAGGTTGACCCACGTTCCCATCCAGCAATCCAAAAAAAAGACTTTTCATAGCCATCATAAAAGATATGTACACGCCAAAACACAGTATAAAATTCAATAGCTCTCTAGATCACATGATACTTTACCAATATCCTAAGAGAAGAATTGTGGGCGACCGGTTACACAGGTTTCCTACTGTGTTTGCATGTTGTTGGATTGAATGTTTTGAGGTGTACATAAGTTTGTCAGGTCGTGAATCGCTTGATTTATATCTACAATATCTGTATCATTGAGCTCAAGGTAATGAGCTGTGACACCCGGCAATTTGCTGAACCATAACTCGGACACCAATGATTTTTGAAATTTTTTTGGCAGATACTGATCCTCGTCAAGGGTTGAAGAATAAGGTCCGCGATTTGTCAGCTCTTTTGCTTGTTTTTTGGCCTTTGGTACAATTTCTCTACCCTCAATACACTTGTCAATAAGGCTGATGAATTGATCAAGCTTGGCACCTCTCCAAGCAACTCGGATTCGGTGACGAAAGGCGCGCCCATCTACATTCGTGATCTCGTCCTCGGAATGAACCTCTAGGTGTGCAAATAGACCTGCTTCAGGTGAGTCTGCGCCAAAGAGCTTATCGACTACACTCATACGTGCTTTGTAGATCTAGAATTCAAAGAGATTTTGAATTAGCCAATTATACAAATGTAGTTGAGCTTGAGCTGCTTCACCTTGTCCTTCCCTCGTCTCTTACTTGCCATGCTTGCCACATTTGTGTCGTTGTTTGCAACAGTTTGGCGACCCTCAGGCGTCTTCATGAGATTTGCCCGTTTGGTCTGAGTTCGATACTGAGGACTCTTGTTCTCTAACCATCGCTTCAGAATCGATTGTCGGTTCTCGGGCGTATTATCCTTCTCAAGAATTGGATAAGCTCCAGCCCCACCCGAATTGTAACATTTTACCCACTGTTCAAGAATGATAGACAAAATGGAGGTGTTCCACGGAGAATCGGGAGAGGCGCCCCAGTCAAAGGTACAGCGTGGGAATCCTGCTAATGCTAGAGCTCCCTCGCACTGGGATCCAGATGCAGGCGAGTATTTGAAACGAAAACTAGAAGAGATGCGAGAGTTGAACCGTACTGGCTGCATAGGATGTTTTGTGAGTGTTTTTTCGACTGTATCTTTCTCGAGTGTTCTAATCTGAGTCTTATTTGGTTTGAATCCGGCTGGATGCTTTGAAAGATATTTCCGCTTGGCCTTTTCGATCGCATCGGTCATCAACTTTTGCCGTCTTGATTTACGTTCCGTCCAAGCTTGCTGCTCTTCGTCGGTAGGTGGCTCCGGGAGAGTCGGATCTTGGAGGTCAGAGCCCGGGTTCTTTCGAGGCATACTCATGGATCGCCCTTGCCACAGGTGAGGCTGCTTTGAGTGATGCATTCGAGTTGGAAGCTTTCCCAATCATTGCCTCAAGACGCCTCTCCTCCTGTCGCTGTTTTCTGACGGCCTTTTTCTTGCGTTTACGATCAGCCTTCTCCTTCAAGGTAAGATCTCCATCTGAACCAAATTGAAAATCGAAAGAACTGTTTAGTAAAATTTTTAGACTTTTAAGTGAATTTGGATCTTACCTGATTCGCTGCTTGATTTCTCTGAACTATCAGTATCAGTATCGGTTGTTCCTGTAACATCACACAGCTGTCAGCAATTGGACTTTTGGTGAGATATGAATACAAGGTTTGTACCATCCATCTTCCTTTTTTTTGCAGAGTTCTCGGGTGAAGAGTTTGTGTTTGTGTTCTTTGTATTGCCCATGGCTTAAAACGTTTAGAGGGAAGAATAAGCTTGTGACTTAAACACAGATGCTATTAAGAAAAAAAAGTTTTTCGCACTACTCTGATCCATTTCGATTGATGAATATTGGGTATTAGTTGGGGCTGGAGCTGAGGACATCTTGAATGGTGTAGAGTAAAATCTAGATTAAGATTCTGAGAGAAAAGATAGCACCAGAGGCCAGTCACGTCCTGAACATCAAAACTGACAGAAGTGAATTATGATAAATTGTTGTACGTGTATGTCCAGCCATCAAGAAGGAGAAAGGAAACTTCCTCGAACCAGATGTTTGCCGGCTACAATTCAACAAAGGCAATTGTCGGTATGTAAACGGGTAAGAGCTGCTAAGGTAAGACTTGTTATGGGGTTTTCTAAAGCCGCTTTCCCCCCAATTGTGATCTGATCTTGGGGGTAGGTTGGTTGACTGAGCTTTCTTGAGGCTTTCCCTTTTATAAAGAATGAAAGGGACGGCAGTCAAATTATTGAGAAAAGAACAGGACACGAATCATGATCAATTCAGTTTGCTCGCGTCGACGCATCAACAGGAAACAGGCTTGGTGAATAGAGCAGACAGAGAAACAAGGCGTATACTTACAAGTGGCCTCCCCCATTATGAAACAGCGGACGGAGATAAAGCTGTGATCATGCAAGCGCGGATCAAGGAGCTTTACTCGAGCGACAATCCGTTGGATAAGGCAGCAGGAGCGAACCTCTTGGCAGAATTCCTACAAACGTTCGCACCGGGAGTCCCTTCAGATTACGGGGGTAGTTGTGACCCGTCAGTAGGGCCAAGCCGTCGTAGAGAGTCCAGGAGAGTCTCACCGATCCCAAGACGCATCTCACCACCTCGTCAACAACCTGAACAGGTAGTTCGGATGCAACCTCCTCCTGTCCCTCAGCGACCCCCTCCAGTACCCCAACGAACTCAACAACCCCCCCTCCTCAACAAGCCCAGATGCCTCAGAGCAGAACCAACGGAGCGGTCCGAGAACCTGGTGAAACACCGAGTCGAACGGAGGTCAGAGTTCAGCGTGCGCATAGAGGCGAATCCCGACCAAGGTCCTCACCTTTCGAGAGAAGCAGATCGCGAGACTCTCCGAGGCGACGATCTCAGGCCAGGCGTAGAAAGTCTCCGGAGTCTCCAACTAGAGACTCACCTCATAGACGAGGCAGGTCTCGAGCTCGAAGAGGCAGGTACCCAGAGGACGAGCAAGATCGCGACTCTCACGCATCACCAGCACCAGCTGAGCATCGGAGTGAACGAGGCGATCGACGTAGGTCACCGGCCCCGTACCAGTTGATTGAAGAAGGCTTCTCCGATACATCATCAGTGGGAGAAGACCGTCGGACTCGAGCAACGACTCATCAAGCGAGAAGGATGGTTGAGCGGATCAACGCTGAACCACAAGCTACCACCGGCACGACATCAGTGGAGGAAGAGGAATTGGCGAAAGCTCTTCTCGAGTCGGGCAGAGGTAGAATGGTGCTGTCCAACGGCGATGTGATCGAGAACGGTCGGCGGATCCTACAGGATGATTCAGTACAAATGGCGAAAGGCCTTACTCAACTGTCCCCTACACTCCAGGTTTATCTACGTACCTTTAAGGCCTACATTCCCTTGGCAGTGTTCAACAAAAGTTTCTTGATCCAAGACCATCAAGCCTGGTGCACAATGAAAGCTTTATCAGAATCGAAAATCCTGGAAGGCGGAGCGGGAGTTAAAATGTACAGCGGAAACCCACCGATGGACGAGTTAACGATGCAGTATGAACAGTGGCTGGACGCCATATCCCTGTTCATAAAGTATGTAAGGCAGGAAGGATGGCAGACTCAGGCAGAACGCTTCGAGAAACATCGACAGCTAGTCATAGAGCTGAGAGAGGAAGCGGGTTGGATGGTAGTGTTACGATACTGTTGAAGAATCCGCCAAGGAGTCATGCGGTCAACGACCGACAGGAATATCTGCAACATTTCGAAAATCCAAACGGTGATACTCGATGAGGTGAAAATGACATGCGAGAATCTAAATGAAAGAGCATTCCTTACAAATCCCTGTGCACCGGGTGGCCCGAGGGAGAACATGAACCCAGAAGATGGTCTCCCGAAAACGTCCACGGCGAAGACACAATCGTCGACCTTGATTTTGAAACCTGAAGCGACACATCCAAGGAAAGAAGGTTGGCTACCACCTCTCGAGTACAAAGCAATGAAAGCCGCAGAGAAGGCGAAACGAGAAGCGACGTCAAGATACCGTAGGGACTACACGAGTAGCGATCGTAGGTATGAGGAGCGGAGAGATAGAGACCGAAGCCTAGAGAGAGGCAGGAACCATAGCGGTTACCAGAGAGGCAGAAGCCGAAGCCGTAGTAGAGACGGAGCACGGGGTGCTAAATACGGAAGATATCATAAGAAGCGTTAGTGAGTCACGATCAGAAGGAATTTAAAAAGAATAACTCAATTTTCAATTTATGAAATGAAGTCATGAGATGCCAGCTTGAGAACAAGACCAAACGTGCCTAACCTGTGAATGACCTTGCCTCCCCTCCCCTCGCCTTTTCCCTCATCCCATCTAAAAGTCCCCGTTTAGACGTGAGCCCCCGATCTGAGAGCGACCTGAACACAAGCCCCTCTTCGGGCTTCAGGCGTGAAATCTCACTAGCAAAACCGACTGGGAGAGCACGGGGCAGATGGCCAACAGAAGTCAGATGTGAAATGAATCTCCACGTATGGGAGAGAGAATTAAGAGCAAACAACCTCTTACAAGAAAAACGCCACATTCTTCGCGGATTTCTGGAGGGTTTTGACCAAGGAATACCGGAGATTCACTTACCAGACATGCTATATTATTGCCCACCTAATCACTCATTGGCTCTTCAGGCAAAAGAGGAAATCGAAGGAAACTTGTCAAAAGAAATTGAGGCAGGGAGAATGTACGGACCATTCACAAAAGAGGAAGCTTACAATAAACTCGGGTTCTTCAGAACGAACCCATTAGGAGCGGTCACTAACAGCGACGGTTCTTTAAGGCCCATAAATGACTTATCAATTCCTAGACGAGAACCAACAATCAATTCTGTGAACGCGATGGTGGACAAAGACGATTTCATCACGTCATGGGATGATTTCGACAAGGTAGTGAAATTCTTACTATCTATCGATTACCCCGTACTCCTAGGCATATACGATTGGGCGAAAGCCTATCGTCAGATCCCGACGAAGCCAGGCCAATGGCCGTATTTGATGATCCTTACATTCGACGGGAAAGTCCTTCTCGACACAAGGATCACGTTTGGAGGAGTAGCCGGATGCGGCTCCTTTGGCCAGGCAGCCAATACCTGGAAAATAATTGTCCAGAAAAAGTTTGGATTCACCCAGGCTTTTCGGTGGGTAGATGATACGCTGTTCGTTAAACCAGATGACGGGTCAAACCACTTCAACATGACGCACGTGGTAGAACTAAGCAACGAGTTGGGAGTAGTGACAAACCCTACGAAATGGAAAGAATTTGATTATCAACAAAAATACCTAGGCATGGTATGGGACGGTAAAAACAAAACTGTCGGCCTACAAGACTCCAAGCGACTCCTAAGGATATCGCAAATCCAGGAGTTCAAGGCGCTGAAACGGTTGAGCCATAAACAAGTAGAGAAACTAGCGGGAAGGTTGGCACACGCGTCGTTGATATATCCGCAGTTGAAATGCCACTGTGTGGCGATGTACCACTGGATGGCAGAATGGGTAAATAGATTAGCGTTACGCGACATACCGGAGGAGGTGATGATTGATTTAGATACATGGATAAAGGTGCTGTCTACTGCCAATCCACGTAGGTTGATACCAAGCCCGGGAGTGAGGAACGTCGCGTGGGTAGGCGACGCATCAACCTCATATGGAATCGGCATAGTAATCGGCAGAAAATGGTCAAGGTTCCGGCTTCGAACAGGTTGGGACAAAGTCGAAGCCGATAATACAAGGCGTGAGATTGCCTGGGCAGAAACTGTCGCACTACGGCTGGGATTGTTGATTTTAACCCAACTGATGCCAGTAGAAGGACAGGAGTTTTTGGTGCTTACGGATAATGTCGTGACAGAGGGCGCTGTGCGTAACGGCAAGTCAAAAAACCGCTGGGTGAACAGAGAGTGGATTCAAATCCAGGATCTATTGATGAGGTTAGATTGTAGAGTGAGGCAAGAAAGAGTGAGATCGGAAGATAATGCCGCTGATAAATTATCGAGGGGTTTCGACTCCTCGAAACACGTGAGAGATGAAGTATGGATTAGAATTCCCAAGGACTTGAAAAAATTTGTGATACAAGAATGAAATGCATAACCTTTTTTATAACCTGAGTGATTCAGAGCCCCTCTTCCAATTTAAGACCCCTACCGATATCCTTGCCGCTAAAGTCCAATCATGCCAAAGAAACCACAACCGGCACTTCCAAAACACTTCGAAACAGCGGAAGAAGCTACATCACTAGCCGGCAAACACGCGGCGACGAGCGGATGGGAGACCAGCACTTTGAAGGGATACTCAAGCGGCATGAGTAAATTTATCGAATTTAAAGATAAAACCGCTGGTGGTTTTGACAAAAACGAAGAAATATCAGACGAAGATATATACGAATTTATAGCATGGGCCGGAGAGTCAAAGCTAGAAAGAGAAGATGGACCAAGTAGGAAAATCTCATCAGTAACGATAAAGAAGTACCTGGATGGTATTAGAGCCTGGAGTATGGTGAGACATACGAAGAGACCATTGGCAGACACAGAGTTCGTAGCGGTACTATTGAGAGCTACGAAACGCCTAGAGGAAGAACAGAAATTAACGACCAATAAGCAGCCGATTATGACAAGACAATTGTTCAAGTTATTTAAGACGACTTACGGGAAATCAGAAGAATTGAACCTTGTAGGCTTGGTGGAATTGATTGCGTTCTGGGGAATGACACGGTTAGGAGAACTGTTAAGGAACAAACCAGAACAAGGGGCCTTGTTAAGAAGGCACGTGGAGTTTGGAGAAAAAGATGGAAAACGCTTTGCAATACTTCACTTAAGGAAGGCGAAGACGGCGAAATCGAAAGAAGTCCAGATGATCCATTTACAACAACAGTTTAACGTATTAGATCCCGTCGCAGCTTTAGAATGAGTGTTGTTGGCAAACGAAAAGGCAGATCGCGACAACTTGATATTCAGCACGTCCAGCTCAAATGGAAGGAGACCGTTGACGAAACCTAGATTCCTAAAACTAGCAGGCAAGTGCTGGGGGAAAGCAGGTCTAAACACTTGGTCAGGGCACTCATTCAGGGTAGGAGGCGCATCAATCAGATACAACCTCGGCACACCGATGAGAACAATAGCAAAGCAGGGACGGTGGAAGTCGCTTACTTACCTAAGATACCTGAAAGCCTATTCCGAGGAAGACATAGAAGATACGATAAAGTTCTTAAAAGCAATCGATGAAAGAAACGTGGATGTCTAGCAAGGAATGATGAGACGTCAGTAGTAGTACAGGACGAAGATCATGTGGCGGGCGCGCATGAATACTGAATACTAGTTCAATTGAGTAGAAGAAACTTTATTTTGAAGCAATTGAGTTGGCGAACCTGATATTGAGGACGCGGTCCGGGTGTCGTCGGTATGGGTGAGCTCAGGTGGCTAGGCGACGAGTAGAGGACCGGTACTGCCTAGTGATGGGTCCCGGAGCTCAACCGTACGAAACCCGTCTCGAATTATCGGAGGGTGGGCGGGTCTGAAGGGCGCGAGGCCGGCCAAGAGGTTGGTTCACAAAAACCAACCCAGAGGCAGGGCTCAGCCACTCCCCCACCGCGACCTCTCTGACGCGCATGTAAGAGAGGTCCACTGGGTGCGGATTCACATCATGTAAGAATCCCATCGCGGATCAACCCCACCCTACAGTCCGTAGCTAACTGAGGAGTGGGTTGAGGGAACCGCAAGGCACGCAGTGGTTCCTATGCCCACGGTGACTTAGCGGAGGTGAAAATGTGCATGCACACGCGCACGAGAAATTGCGCCAACCAAGTTGAGAATTTCATTTTGGAATCCTAGAATTCTCAACGAAAACCTTTTTCACCTTGCAAGACAACGTCAAGGCTCAATTTATAATTAATCTCAACCGAGATAATTCATCTCCTTTTTTCGAACACATTTGGAAAAAAAATTTAATACCTCCCCTCCCACCCAACAGTGAGGAAACACTTTATATAACGAGTACAAAGCGGGTTTTTTAAGAAACGAGTTTAAAATAACTCGGAAAGTTAATCCCACCCACCGACCCAGGGCGCGAGGCCGGCCAAGAGGTTGGTTCACGAAAACCAACCCAGAGGCAGGGCTCAGCCACTCCCCCACCGCGACCTCTCTGACGCGCATGTAAGAGAGGTCCACTGGGTGCGGATTCACATCATGTAAGAATCCCATCGCGGATCAACCCCACCCTACAGTCCGTAGCTAACTGAGGAGTGGGCCGCTAAGATCGGTTTGAATTTTGAGTAAGGTTTGATTGATAGGTTGTACACCGTAGGTGAGACAAAGTGTGCTGGTTCCTCGTAGATAGCGGAGAATTCGTTTGAAATGTCCCCAATGTGCCATAGTCGGTTTTTCTAGGAATTGGGCTAACAGAATGAGAAAGATCGGGGCGGGTGCATTGTGAGAGGTAGTTTAAAGAGCCAACTGCACGTCAATAGTTGAGACCACTGAGCTTGAATTCCATGATTTCTTCTTCAGAACCGGGCAAGATAGGAAGATTGGATTGAAGAGGCGTTCCTAGCTGTTTACAATCCTCCATACCATATACTTTAAGTAACTCATTAATGTATTTTGATTGAGAAATTGCCAAAGTCCTAGTTTCACGGTCCCTCTTGATTTGCATTCCTAACATGTTTTTAACCGGTCCTAAATCTTT